AAGGAAAATCTGAGAAAAGCCAGGGAAGTGAAGTGACACTCTAACACCTTAACTTTTTTGTGTGCCACTCAGCTATGCCCTTTCAGTATTCTGGCTGCTGAGGCTGAAAGATGTAAACCACTTGTACTGTCATAATGTCGACCGTTAGATTGAATGAGCTGTGCATGTCTGAATAAAAACTAAAAACTATGAGTGAAGAAAAGCAAATTTACTTCACATGTCCATTGCTAAAAGAAATCATTTTGCAAATCTCTTTGCTGCAAGGTCCATTTAACCAGTTTTGAATTGGCCCTGCTAATTACAGCACTGTCATTTTAGATGCGCTTCTACCATATACACTCTTGCCTTGTGCTTTGTTTCTGAATCTTTTTTAGTATTTATTATTACAGTCCATTATGCAGAAATAGAGCAACTGTTTCTCTCGCTGCTGGTATTTCCTTTTAGCAGTACACTGACTCAGGTTGTTCAAACTTGACAGGAAGCTGTCTTGAATGCATCACTCATGTTGAATCAGCGCTATGAGCAATCCTTTCATTAAAAGAGAAAAATAGTAATAAAAAAATGTAAGGGAGGTCACTTTCCAATAATTGTTCTAGTACAAAAATTCTTTATAGAAATCTCTGCCATTCTCTTTAGTTGGTGAACAAGCGAGGAACTGCAGTGCTGAATTCCTTTTTATCACATAGTTTTCCCCTTTTCTGTGCCAACAAGAGAAGAATATGTTGGTGTATGTGTTTAAGGATGGGCATGAACCGGCTTCCGAATGAAAGTTTGTGACAGATTTTGGCTGTTTTGTGGTTCAAAAAGATGGCTCAGAGCAATTTAAACTCCTGCTTTTTGCTCCCTGCCAAAAGCGGCAGAGAGCAGAAAGCAGGGGTCACAAACTGATACAAATTGGTTTGGTTCACAAACCAGATTCTTGGTTCGTATTGGTTTGTGATTCGGTTCATAGCTCAGCCATGAACCAAAATGAACCGCAAAAATGTGGTTTGTGCCCATCCCTATATTTGTTAGGTCAGCATGTCAAAATAGTGAAAGATACATTCTCTCTTTCTCTCTGCCTTAGCTTTCATTAATTTAAAAAGAATCTCAAACAGTTAAGATTTCTCAGCAGTCCTCATGTAATTTTCTGCATAGAACCAAGAGCACAGGAGGCAGAATGCTGATCAGGGAAAAGAGGGCTGTGGAGAGCTCTCCTGGTGGTGCAGACTGCTTGACGCATTGACAGCTGGCATATTCCTGACTTTTATCATTTTTGTTTGCTGATGTCCTTGTATCTTCCAGAGTGAAAATACCAAATGTCAGGCTAGTTAAATGATCCCGTATACCAGCTCAGCAATGGCCATTGCCCATGGTCAGTCCAAGGCTTGGAATACTGACCAAAGTTATCACTACTAGTATTAAGTACTAGTACTTTGTTCTTTGCTTGCTCAAGGGCATACCAATTGCTGGTTGCCTACTTTGTGTTTTCCATGTCATTTTTGCCCCATGATTGATTAGTGACAGATGGGGGGTGTTTGGTGTGGGACGCATGTCTTTTGGTAGTAGCTCATATACAGTCTTAACATTGACTCTGCCTGGGGTAGCCATTGTAGTTTGGTACTGGTGAGGCCACAGGGAACTATAACTCCCAAACCCTTCCTTGTAACAGTCATAGGTTATTTCCTTCCATTTATTTTATATTAATAAAAGTTTGTAAATAAGTGGCCTTGATAATCTGATAATCTGTCCCTGTTTTATTTTGGCCTCTCTGCTGCTACTGGGAACAGCAGGTCTTTAAGGCCCTGAAGGAAGTAGGAATGAGCTCCCATTTTGATAGTAGTGCTGTTTGAATAAGTTGTGTTGATTCCACTGAGGGACAGAGTGCTAATCATACCAAAACCAGAATATGATTCAGTTGCTCTAATAAGCCAACGTCTATCAGGTTCTGTTCTTCTTCAGTTAATTACACAGCATGCTAGTGTATTATTTTATGTGTGTCCAATTAGCCAAAAGGGTAGAGTCACAACCTTTAGCTTCCTATAGTTTTTGACTCTGAGTGTCTATTCAAAGTCAACTTCCCATTTTACTTTTTCCTACACAGAGATAATTCTCAGCACAGAGAAAAAATAATGATGTGATCTTCACATATTGGAATTAGTTGACAGAAACTATAGCAGTAAGACCAGGAGCTTTTGGCTCTTCACTGTTTTTCTAAGTTGACCATGTGATCAATAACAGAGATATCATTTCTGGTGGGTAGAGTTCACACATTTCTACAGAAACACAGCAACATGTTAATGACACAAGATACCCAGCAAGAGAATATGACTAAGTACATTAGAACTGCCCCAAGGGACCCATGTGGCACTTGGCTCACGAGTTTCCAAGCAGAATTCCGGGTGCAGAACTTGGCCTATCTGAAGGAACGCCTTTATAAATCTGGGAAAGGAACATAATGCAGATCACCCAAGGAGACCTCATTGTTGCCATCAGAGATTCACCAGATAGCAACCAAGACTGTATCCTCCTACTTGCTTTCAAAGGAACTTTGAGGCTAACTCTTTTTATTCCTTAATGGAGGTGGTAAAAACTGACCTCTTTGACAAGATTTTTGTCTATCTGAGCTAAGGTGACCAGACCTGAAGTGCTGGAAATCCTATATTTTACAGACAAGATTAGATTATATGATTCTCTGCTATATAATGTACTGTTTGTTGTGTAATACACACTTTTATTAATTTATGCGGGTTTTGGTTAATTTTATTTTACACTTGTATGGTATTTTAATTTTTGTAAGTCTGACGACTTGGTAGGGGGCAGAGTTTAAACTGGAGAGGGGGATTCTTTGCATGTAGATACCATGGTAACTCTGTAATTCAGATATCCTCTGAATCTTACCTGCATAAACAATTCCAAGGCCCTGTTTCCATATGAAGCTGAAAACAGGCAAAGAAATTACCCAGATAATTTTATTTATTTATTTTTTATTTTTTATTTCAATTTGCATCCCACCTTGCCACAGAACTGGCTCAAGGCGGCTAACAACATTAAAAACACTAGGACAATAAATACATGAAAATACAATGGAGAATAAATATGGCTGCCTAAGCAACTAAACAGTACTAATGATGATGATGGCGGTTTTGTCAGTTCACCCAGTAAAATCCAGTTGGAAAGTGCACTGGAAGTGATTGAAAGTGGATTATTTAGTGTGTGTGACCACAGCCCATGTTATCTTTCTGCAACAGCTCAACTTCCAAAACTCTCATCACAACTGTCACACAATGTAAGATTACAATGTGGAAACTGCAACTGCTGAAGTGTCCACAATCCATAAAGCACGTCCATGGAATCATTTACCATTCACACAAGCCCTTTATTTTTTGGTCACAAGTTGACTCTCAGACTGAACACTTCTGGTTCCAAATTGAAAGCATTCTCATTAATCCATGGGATTGTAATCTCAGGCAGGGACCTATTTTTTGCTTATAGTACTCTAAAAATGGAAAGCAACATAAATAAAAATAGGAGAGTGGTATGCTGTTACGCATATTAAAATAGTATATATTACAAGTTGGCCATAAGATTTCATTGGAAAACTTTTTTTTTTTCTCCAACTTGCTTCTAGGGGTTTCTTTCAACAGTGTTTACACACAGATTTGGAGAGTTCTCTTACATTTGGCTGCTGATCCCTATCCAGATGTTTCAGATTTGGCCATGAAAGTACTCAACAGCATTGCTTACAAGGTAAATCTCCATTTGCTTCTGAGTTCCTGTCTGTCAACCTTGTGCATGATGCAAGTAAATGGATCTTGAACTTACACTTTTGAAAGTCATTCTGAGAAAAATTACCTCACCAGGAAGCAACAGATTGTTAAATGCCATGGAACAGGACACAAGTTCTCCATTGTCATTGTTTCTTTTGGTTTGTGGTCTAATATCACTTATGTAGAAAAGAGATTTGCTTTTTTCCTAAGAGTTTGCATCTAGTTCAAGCATAGATCATCTGGGGAAAGGAAACTGCAGGATTAAATGATACATTATAATATTGGGCTGAAAGGGTCTCAGAAGGTAGTTTTTGTACCATCATCTTTAACTACTTTGTTTGATTCCTTGTGGTCCTTTTGCCCTGAACACAATTTACAGCTCACATCTTCTTTAACTAAAGAGTTCAAACTGACTCTTGATGTTGTTCTTTGGCACCACCTGTAAGTCTGTCCTCTGAGGGCAGAAAGATCAGGGAGAAAAAAAATAAGGGTCTATAAAATCTTCTAACAGAAGCCCAAACAGCTCCAGAAAAGGTGTCCCCTGCTAGACAACTGTTCAGGTATAATGGACTAGGAGCAGGTGACCATGCAAAAATTCCTGGAAGGATCTGAATATGTAAGGGCATACACAATTAACTTTCTAAATAGAGCTTTTCTTGGATGTCTAGCTAGTAAAGTTGACTTTATGCATTTTTGGTTATTTTCTTTACAAATTCATTTAGATTATGCAAGTCAGAGTAAAACTGGATTGCAGATTGAAGCCGCAACGGCTGCCCAGTGCAGGTGATCTAGTACATGTGAGTCAGCATGCAGGCACCCCATCCCCCCCTTCACCTCTCTCAAAAGCACTACCATCACTGCTATCCTTCATTTTGCAAGAATGACTTGTTTTTTTATCCCAGAAGCTGCCATCACTGTTATTGTAGAATTACTAGCTCAAGAAGCTTCAATAACTGGGCTTGTTATCACATACCATTTGTGATAACAAATTTTCCACCACCAGACAAGCACTATATAAGCACTTTGCTAGATTTGATTATCAAATACCTCCGTACCGGCTCTCACTTATATTCAGCTGAAGACGTTTTAGACATTTTCTTTCTTTGTTATGCCTGAGACAAGAGCATTTGTCATTCCAACAAATAGCATGGATCAGTCCAATGTGAGATGGGATATCTAACTGATGATTCAGCGAACATTTAATATTTAAGGTCCTGAGCTACCATTAGTATAAAAGATGCCACCAAATAATGCACTGGCAAGTATCTTATTTTTTCCCTAATTTTTAATTTAAAACATATATTTACTGCAGTTCAGAGCCCACTATGTAATTGTCTCAGCTGATTGGCCATGTCTGTTGGATGTTTTGTGACAACATTCTTTGAAGGCTTGGAGAAGCAGATGATCCAGTGACAGAAAAATATAGGCATGAAGGATGAAAAATCCTGATTACTTGTATCCAAGTTGAATGATGAAGAGGGAAATTTATATTTTGAATGCCTCATTTACTTACATAATCCACTAGGTGGATTATGAATGAATGAATAGTTTATGAATGAATAGTTTACTTATCCTTAATCCAAAGATCTACTACTTTCGTTAGGATAATAGACATATATGCCCATTTCTTGTAATCATCTTTGTCACAGCAGTGTGATTTAACAAGCATGAGTCTGGAAAAGAGTTAAACTACGATCAGTGTGGTGTTTTTTAAAATGTAATCATTTAGATATGTATACCTTGCTTTTATCCCCAATGGGATAGGGTTAGGGTTAGGATTAGGTTATCCCAATGGGATAAAACCCCACAAACGGGTTCTCAACCCGTTTCTACCCACATGGAAGCTTGCAAGTTCCATGGCTGTCCCAGGTCTCCACCTCGCAGGTCCCTTCCTCCTAATCTACTTCTCTCGGGCTGTAATCTACTTCTCTTGGGCTGCTATCAACCAGTCATTAAGAATATGTTCTGCTGAAGGACTAGTACTCCAGCAATCTCAGTTACTTTGGTGTTTAAATGCTCCACCTCAGTTTCTCATCTCCCAGTTTGCATCTCCTGTTTCACTCACACTAGCTAATGTGAGGACGAGCAAACACATTTGTGCTCTATGGGGGAAGGGATTGATGGCCACTCCTTTCCCTTTGCTTCTCCTCAATAAGAGTGCCTGAAAAAGGCTTGATGTCCATATAAAGACCAGTACATCAGTGTTCAAAATATTAAGAAACGTAATAAAGAAACAACCAATGCACACAACATTTTGAAATCACAGCAGAGCAAAGATGAAAAGAAAGCAATTTAAACACAGTCCACTAACCTTAGCTCTGTACGTGTCCTACAAGATGACAAAATTAGAGTAGACTGTCTAATTCTTGTACCTTATCTTCGTAACTTCTTTGCATTCCCACATTGAAACTGCACATGCTCAGGCCACCTGCAAGGACAAAAGTTCTAAACCTTTCAAGCATTTTCTATATTGCAACCAGCACACAGGTTTGTCCATCGCTCTGCTTGGTTCCACCAGCCGCTTTGCTTGGTGCCAATCCTGCCGTCACACAGTTCCATCATCAGCTCATCCACCTATAGGAGTTCTGGGCCCTCAGACTCTGAAGAAGGCATGTTGTTCCCCTTTGAGCTCAGATATGTGTCAGATCAATCTCCCAGTAAGGAGTGGGGGGGAGGGATTCCAAACACTTTCACCTACTGCAGATCTCCATCTGTATTCAGAGGAGCTGGTGCAAATGGCAACATCACTGGAAGGTACCGGACACTTCATGTTTGGATCCAATGCCTATAGATCCAATCTTAGGGTCCTTAACTCTAATGCTCCTGGGCTTATAGCCTTCCCAATGTTACAAGGCTTTCTGGACATTGCCATGGGTCTGAGGACCAACCCAACATCTCTGTCACTTTCTGCATGTGAACTGGAAAATATGTATAAAGTGCACAATGAAGGGTGCGAGTTTTTGTTCACCCACCTTCCTGCTAACTCCCTGGTAGCAGTGGTCATGCCCTTCAAACAACATTCAGTGTCTCACAGCTTGTTCTGACAAGGAGGAGCACAAATTGGATTGACTTAGTAGAAAGATCTACTCCTCTGGGGCTTTGGCATTTAGTGTTCCTTTGGGAGCGTATGACTACTTACATAAAGCTTTTGCCAAATGTGTTAGACTGAGTAAACAGCAAATCAGTGCTGCCAGCTATGGTACCAACTGCTCTAGTTGTTCTGTTGCATTTGCCATACTGCTTAGATGCCATTCTTGACTTCTGTCAGTTCTCTTCTCAAATGAGACCAGGGCCAAGGTAGAAGTCCTCCATTTTGAGGACAAGGATTTATTTAATGCTAAAACAGATGAGGTACTGGATATTATATGTAACACCAAGATTTCCCAGACACTAATATCAGTCACCATGCCAGAGGTTTTACAGGTATCATCCACCGGGGGGGGGGGGAAGCGAGGCTATATCCTCCAGAGGAATTTGGCCCGCAGTTGCACGATCACACCTCCCTTTGAAGCTGCAGGCGTAGTCTGTCAGTGCGTGATCAGATGCAACTGCGGGTGAGTCTTTTTTTGTGTGTGCCATTTTCCCCCATGCGCTTAACCAAGGGATCGATAAATCACACCTCCGCACCAAGGGCTCCCTATGGAGTTTGTGATGATGCGCATACTGCAAAGGGAGAAAAAAACAACAGCACAGAATCGGAATGGTCTGATGAGACCATCCCGATGCTATGAGAGCACGCTGGAGCGATCAGAAACGGGAAAGTCCGTCCGCGGCCCGTCACAACCCATTAACTACCGGATTTCCCCCGTTGTCTTTTAACTCCGCTTCTGCAGTGGAGCAGAATGTGTTGCCGACAGCTGTGGGGGGCTTCCCAGATGTTGTTGTCTGATCGTGCCCTTTTGATCCACCTGGCATTCGCACCTATGTCAGATCTAATTGTGTGTATGATTGCAGCCTCTGTTTACCATCCTCCTTACAGAGCTCAGCAGTAAGGAAAAAGGCATTGGTGGCTTCCAGTTTTGGCAATTCACGGATCGGACGCGTCCCATTGAGCTCTAATGTGGACGCTCCGAGGCACGGCGAACAGGAGGGGACTCTGATTATTCCAAGCACCCCCTGAGCTCTTGTAGGGAGCTCTTTGCCTGGGGTGCAGAGTGGTGCCTCTTCCAAGGTGACGGCCAAGGAATTGAGGCTCCTCTTACCCCGAAAGGTCCTGCCATCGTGAAGCCGTCATGGCGATCAGAGACAACTGCCGGGTGAAAGGGGCAAGAGATCTAGCGTACTTATGATCATTTTACACTTCAAATGCTACAGACTGTAAGCTAAGTGCATCCCCCTGACGAGCCACTCGAGAGAACGGAACTAACCTATGGGACAGAGCAGCGGGTGGGGAGGAATTGAGGTTCCCCCCCTTGAAACTAAGCGGTGCCCAAGCGAAAATCCTAAAGGGAAAAAAGATACTGACCATGAGAGACTTTGAATAAGACCAAAAGTTTTAAAGTAGTCCAAAGAGCGTTCAAATCAGAGAACTTTAATTTTGATTTAAATAAACTTTATCAGGCAGAGGGGAAAAGATGGCACTGGAGAAGAAACCCTCGGCCGGAACTACCCAGATAGCAACTCCTACTCGTATGCCGGAAGTAGCTACTGACTTTCCTAACCTGTTGGCAACAGCGTTGCGCCCCCTGCTGGATCAGATGTCTAGTATCAACAATAAACTCGATGGTTTCCAAAAGCAGTTGATGGGAATTGACAAAAGGGTAAATGGCCCTAATAAAGCCATAAAGAAAATGGATGCAAAAACAACTGATATTAAGCAGAAACTGAAGGCAGTCGGAAGAGAGCGAATTTCAGATAAAAAACAAATTTACAGCTTCAAATGGAAAGATCAATGTATGTCCTACTCTTCCAAGGTATCCCAGAGCAGAAAGGAGAAAACTTAAAAGAACTATTAAGCAAGGTATTAGCACCAGTGACAGA